AATGTGACATAAAATCACTCATTAATTTTAAACAATTTCCTAATAGAAAGGAAACACAGATGTGACTTTTTAAAAAATACTTTCTTAGTTGTAGATGAACACCATACCTTTATTTTATTTATTTATTTTTTATGTGGTGCCAGGTATTGAACCCAGTGCCTCACGCAGAACCACTGAGCCACAAACCTGCCCCTCCTGAGTGAGATTTTTAACATGCTGGGAACAAATCAAGATTTAATTTAAAATATATTTACAATAATTACAAATGATTACTTTTTAAAATAAAGGTCATATTTGCAAGGGAAAAGTAATTTGTCTTCATCAGATCCTTTGCTTCTAATGGTTTATGGGTCTTCAGAATTAAAAAATCATTTTGCTTGATGATGCACAATTGGAAGGCAACACAAGATACTCTGGGCATAGCTGAATGAATGGAATTGAAAGAGCACCTCTTAGCACTTAGTCAACGGGCTGAGCACTTTCTCAGGGCACTTTAACAGGGCTAGCTAGGGGTCGAGGTTTTAGTCCCCTGCCAATACAGAACATTCACAAATTGCCTCAGTCTTTTCCAGTGTGATTTGTACAGTGAACTGTTGCTTAAGAATCACAGAGATCTTCAGAAGATAACAAACTTAGGGAATGTGCCATGGTCTTCAAGAAATATAATACAAAACTGAATGCTATTTACTAGTGGCATACAGAAAGTTGTGAGATCAAGTAGCATCATTTACTGGGACCCTTTATTTTGATTATCTAAGATTTAAAAGACCTCATGTAGTGAAAGAAGAGCCAATAATATAGGACAGATAATCATCTTTGTATGTTGGGAGTCCACATCAACTCCAGCCTAAATTTCAGTCTTCAGCAGTTAAGCTGGTAAAAAATCTAACATCAAAATTTGTGAAGCATCACTCACTCCACTTAATGGAACAGTTATATTAAGTTACATAAATATAGGCAGATGATACAAACCCATCTTCTTTCTTCTTGACTACCCAATTACACAGGATGTGGAAAATATTCCTGTTATCAAGCATATAATCTGTTTTATCAATAGCAAGTAAACCATTTTTATAAACTGTCTTTCAGCTGAGAAAACAATGCACTCCTTACATCATACTGGAAAAGGAATGACCTCAAGATTTCCAAGCAACACAGCTATTTTTCAAATCCTAACTCCCATGCTGATCATTAGAAATAATTTCAAATGTCCCATTCTTGGCCTTCATGGGTGCCAAACCCTGGACAAGTATGCATCAAGGTTATAACTCCAAAACAGCCCCTTTCTGCACAGGGTGCTAAGCAGTCTGTCCTCCCTTTCTCTTTGCACACCATCATTTATATGAGTTTCAGGTCTCTCCTGAATCAAGCTGTGCTTATGTCATAGGGAGGAAGTGAGAAATCCAAGTTATTTTGCTTCAAGCTCCTGCCGGCTAATAAACTACCTCAGATGCACTGTGACTACATTTACTGTACTGTGTTTAGAAAGCTGTGGTCTGAACTCCGTCTTTGGTCAAGGTGTACGTGCATGAGGCTGGTGATGAATATGACCCAAGAAGGCTCAGCACTGTATCCAACACACCCAACAACTTTGTTGGTTGGTATTTGCAGAATGCATTTTTAAAACATAAATTTAGCAGAAGGGTAGAAATTGGTTTATCCAATGCTGATGTAAAGTGGTACTGTTTTCTATATCACATCCTTACTTAGTCCCAGCAATCTAAAATGTTGATGAATGATAGATGAATTTTTGTTTTTCACTAAGTAGCTAGAAATATTAAAAAGCTAAGGCAGACCAGAAATAAAACACAATTCCAATATCTTTTTTAAACCATATTTAAGTTTTTTTTAATTCAAATTGACCCAAAGCAAAACTTACATTACAAAGGAAGAACAAAATACATTATGATATAACACACTGGGAGTTAACATGAAAGCTAAATTTGCAGGCAAACAGCCTCATCCCAATCACATCCTGGGCTAATGAGCAATTCTGCAGGGAAGTTAGAATCTCAGTTTCGCATGGTCCACTCTGGTAATTAAGCTACACATTCTCGTCTCTCAGGGTGTGCATCTGACAAGTCATGCTAGACTCCCTCCTGCTCCAGATGTGTACTCTTGCCACTGCCAGAACACTGAATTCTCTAGTGGAAATGTTGTTCCAAGCATGACTGATAATGAATTAAAAAACAAAACAGTCAAGTCCTCCAAACTAACAAGCATGGATTATTCTGTAGTAAATAGTTTAGAAATGTGGGAATTAAATAATCTAAAAACACTCTTACTCTTCTGCACATTTATAAACACAAATATTTACAAAAAAAAAAAGCAAACGTCTTTTCAAAAAATGAGGTTTGCGGTTCATTAATGATCATAAATCTTTTATGAGCTGGTTTCTTTGGTGTACCTGCCAAATATATTCTTATAAAGATTGAGTGGTTAAGTTTCAATAATAAATTTCAAAAGAAACAAAGAATCAACGACAAATTTGATAATATGCTGAACATTTTAATCAGGATTCTGAAAAACTAATCAGTTGATTTTCTGAAAATACCTGTTTTCTCTACTCAATGCTTCTCTGGCAAGCAAATTCGAATGCAGATCTGTATGTTTACTGCTATATTCTACTATTACCAATTGCAAGAAATTTTAGTTATTGTTAAATATGATATGTGATTGGGACTTTATTGAAAACAAACATAAAATATTCTTTTGAAGCTTTCAGATAAATCAAACCTCAAACAATAAATAATGCAATTATACACTTCTTCATTAAATAGAATTTTCAATTCCAGGAAGAGTTCCCATAATTTTTTTCTGAAGTCACAGCAGCAAGACAGAACAAAGAATTCACCTAATCTGATCTTTTTCCTTGGAATTCCCTGGCTCAAACTCAGTGGCTAACTTAGTTTGGAAATCTTTGAGTCGCTGGGGAAAGAATATCCTTTTAAACTAACTGAATAAATTAATATACATATGTGGATATAAGCACTGGGTAAATGAAATATTAACATCACCACTCAGAGTGCAGGACCCTAGGCACCCTCCTGCATCCTCATCTCCCTGGGCTTGGGGTTTTAAGAGAAGCAACACCCAATTCATTTCTGGCCACATGTGTCCCTAATGCTGCTTCTACATATCAGATCTGACCTGGGGTGGTTTAAAGAATGAGAATACATCTCAGCAACTGTCTTCACAAGGGACTTACTCTGACTTTCTGGGGATAATGTTTTGGAGAATATTTTTAAGAGGCAAACATCTGACTACCCACTTCTATCCATCAGGCTCTGCCAGCTACAGTTGGGGATGGTTAACAGAACTGGTCTCTTGCTGACTAGGTGCCTGTAAGAGTCTACAGTCCGCATAAGTGCTTCCCCTAATAATCCTTTTCCCGAAGCTGCACTTTCTTCAGAAACCTGCACATGGCTTAGGCATATCAGATTCTCTAATGCCAGGACTACTTGCTAGCCAAGAGAGCAAACTTTGTGCCTGAGAAACTAGCACTGCTGGCTCTGAAAAAGGCAAAGCCAGCGTCATCTCCTGGCTCGGCTTAGTTATACTTCTAGGTGAAAGAGTTTTTATGACTTATAAGTAGAAATTCAGACAAGAAAAGAGAAGCCCTTCATCTTGTAAACTTCTGATAACCAATTTATTAATAGCATATAAATATTGTGGCATTTCCCAAATCACTAAAAATGATACTGGGACATTTGAGGTGCTTCTGAAACTAACATGATAATGAATGAATGAAGCACACAACACGTCGGCCAGGACATCATAGATACCTAGTGCCTCTGGGCTATTTTCCATTGTCAGACACTTTATCATATCTGTGTTTACACTGCACATAAAAGACCAATCAACCCAGAAGAGAAAATAACAATCCTGAAGAGCTTCACTGTACAGAACCTTAAAATAGACCGGAAATGTTTAATTAGCATATTAGGAATTAGCCAGACTTGCAAATATGCACCCATTAGAGATTTTACCTTTAAAAAATATATCTATATCTATATAGATGTAGACATATATTTAAAACTGGGAAGAAAAAAACCCACTATGAAACGACCCCAAATTATTTAACCATTAAAGGCAAATGGTTTAACAATAGTTTGGGCTATTTTTAGGAAATACTCTACCACCAGGATATGAAATTTGCTGCTTAAAGTGAAGTAAAAGATAAAGCTTAAAATAGAAATTGTAACTGACACACTATGGGTCTGCTATGAAAATTAAAGTGGCGGTTCCTGTTCTCCCGGGCATGTCAAAGCCGGCCGTGGAATGATGAACAGCAAGTAAAATAATGGATAGAATACACCAGAAAGAGTATTGCACTGGAGGCACTGTTTTAAAAACAGAATACACTGGCTTTATAAAGTTATTTTCTATCTCATTAATTTTTTTTTTTTTAAAGCACAATTCAACTAGAGAGAGAGAGGTTGAGACACAGTGTCTCATGGTAGTGTCCTATCGTTGTTAAAAAATAAGTTAAAAACGAGCACACCAAAAGGAAAGCCGAGGTACTGGATTTTTGTCATTTGAAAGCTACATTAATTAGGAAAAAAAGAGAACAGTTTGAAACAGCCAATTTATACTCATTAAAAATGAATGAGGTGACAGCATTATTTAAAAAAAAAATTTAGGGCATTTTCCAGTATAACCCAGGACCCCCCTGGGTGAAACTGTGCCTCAAACTTCGACAAGTGTGCTGCTGGTTTCTGGTACCATGCTTGCCAATGAAACTAGAAATTTGGAAAGGGTAAACTCTCCACTTCAAACCTGCTTGTGTCATTTAGGAAAGACAATTTTTCTAAATGCAATGTTGTATAGAAAGCTTGGACCTCTTAAACTTGGAC